GAAGAATTGTATGTATTTCTGTCTTATATTACTTATTATTTTCTTCTTATTTTTTTGGTGGTACTGGAATTTGAACTCAGGGCCTCACATTTGATAGGAAGATGCTCTACCATCTGAACTACATTCCAAAATTTTCTTATTTTTTCCAAAAGGACCAAATGCTCCCGTCTATCAACTATTACTGGAAAATCTAGAAGAAACCTACAGAAATTTTCTGGGCCTTTCAAAATGACTCCTGTCCAGCCATAGAGAATGGAGAGAATATTGACTCAAAGAGTTTAGAGCAAGTGGTGTTGGCAATGATTGTATAGCCTAGGGGTGGGAGACTCTCCTTGCAGGTGGAAGCTGAAGTAAAGTAGAATGAACAAACAGCTTTTGCTTCTTTTTGAGCTTCAGTTGGAAACATTGTATGGTAATATTATTGAAACTCATCAGAAGTTGCACTTATTTTATAACTGTTTTGTTTTACTTCTTTTCCTTTAATATAATAAAGTTTTTAAATGACAACTTAAATTGCATTTTTTCTGATGCTTTACAATATTTACATAATATCAGAAAGAAAAAAGAAAAAGAATCTTTTCTCAAAATATATGAGTGAAAACTATTTGGTAAGTAGTCATGAATTTCTATATAAAATTCTAGTATTTACCCTTCATTTTTGTTAGTTTTCTTATGACAAACTAAGAAGATATTTTATGGTTCTTGACTTTCATTTCCCTAAAAAACATATTATTAAAATGTTGGTTTTGGCCAGGCATGATAGTTCACAGCTGTAATACCAGCTACTCCCTAGCCTGACACTGGGAGGATTGTGGCTCAAGAACAACTCTGGCAAAAAATTATGGAGATTCACCCCCATCTCAACTAAAAAGATGGGTGTGATTGTAATCACTGCCATCCCAGCTGCCCAGGATGCTTAAGTAGGAAGATCATAGTTCAGGCTGGCCCTGGCAAAATACACGAGACCCTCTTTGAAAACAACTAAAGCAAAAAGGACTGGAGGTAAGGCTCAAGTGGTAGGATACCTGTCTGGCAAGTGCAAGGCCCTAAATTTAAACCCCAATAATATCCAAAAGAATTCTGGTTATACCTTTATGATAATATATATTCTAAAAGGAAAATAAAATACACAAGTGTTTAAAGGGAGATTGTGTGGTTTCATGATTTAAAACAGCATATTCCTACAATTTCTCAGAATACTGTGGACAAAGACTGAGGAAATAAACTCCAGGAAACAATGTCTAGCATAAAAAGTAGAAGTAACAATAAATATATGACTATGACAAGCTTTGTGGAAAGATACATAGAAATGAGTTGTGGAGTGTAGAAATGAGGGAGGGATGAAAATACAGGTAAATCACAATTATGTTGTGCATGAGCTTGAACGTATACATGCTATATTAATACTAGATGTCTAAGTCATTTGAGTAATTTTAAATTTTTTAAAATTTAATACAATGATAGTGAAGTACAGAGAAATAAATTGGTTATGAGGAGTCAGATGGAAAAGTGCTGGTCTATTCACAAAGCCAGCATTTCAGCAATTTGTCAATTACTCTGAGTATTTACTAGTGCTGATAAGGTGCAGTGCGCTTTCTTTTTGAAAAATGTATACATACTTCGTTACCTTGTTATAACTGAATAGCCAAAGGAAGACAAGTGTTAGGCAAAAGTGCATCTTAATAGCATAAAATATGATGCAGATATGAAAACACAGAGAAGGGAATGTACTGTCAAATTCTTGGTTCTGCTTGTTTCAAGGGATATTCTCTAAGAATAAGAAGTGTAGTTTATTGGCTAAATCTGAAAAAAGAAAAATAACTCTTTTTCTCCCGTGGCTGTTGCTGCTGTTGTTGCTATGATTAAATATTGTCAAGGAAAATATGCCATTTATATTTTTGGCTACAATGAATGCATAGAAAATCTTAGCATCATTGGAAACTAATATTCTTAATGTAATTTATCTTGACTATAAGTCTTGATAAAATCTACAGTCATTCTAACAAATTCTTATTTTATTAAAAGGAGAAAAGTAAGAACCAGATATGAGTATCTAGACATGAGTTCTCAACCCCATTTTAGGTTCTCCACATTGAACATTATATAAAATGTCAATAAAAAAGAATATATCAGCATAGATTAAGTGCCTGCTATGTAGAACCATAGAATTTCAATTCCAAAAGTTCTGTTAATATGTAACCTTGAAACCATGACAATTTTAAGCAATTAGGATGTAAGAAAGCTGGAGAGTTGTGTCTAAGATCACACCCAGGTAAAGCAAGAAGTAGAACACAAGCCTTTGACATTCAGGACCCTGCTCTTTGATGATGGCCGTGGATCAAGGCACTATAGCATGTATAACGTATTATGATTATGGCACTGTGCTCTTGGCTTTCTTAGGTTCAAAGTCAGTTATCTAACATCTGTCTGTATTTGCAGATATAGTTGCCATGACTACAAAACAGGTGTTTTAGAGATCACGCCAGCACTGAGGGCTGAGTTCTGTGGCAGCTCCTTCCTCCAGGTGGAACTCATACTCTTCATAGGCACACCTGGAGTGCTGCATTCAAACAGCACTACTACAATTTGCAGTCAATCCATTTTCCTTTACCTAATTCCCAACTATGTCATAAGACTGGAAAACGTTTTTCCAGGAGACAGACAGACTTTGTCTATGACGTGTCCATGATAGGAATTTTTAGTAAGTAGACATTGATAAATGAATTGAGTTTGATCAAACTATGCTCACTGCTTCCTTTAAGTATCTATCCACTTCTTTTTCATACAGATGCATTTAATAATTATAATCACTAAAGTATTAACTATATTCGTGTCCAATTCATGTATCTTTTAATTAGTATAATTTATTTTCTTCTCATCATGTTAATCACTGGCTATTTAGCATTCATGTTCTAGATAGTTATTCCAAGATACCAGCAGGGATTCATCTGTTTCACTCACACATATATTTTGGGATGTATTTTGTCATTGCCAAGAATCTTAAAATCATTTATAGGAGAATGTCACTACATTTTTCCACCAAAAGTGGGAAGAAGAGATAGCCATTTTTATGAAAATACACTGTACCAAAGATGGAGACAAATCTCTGGCTCCAAAGTGGATGAGTTCAAATTCTAGCCATATGGATTTAGTTATTGATAAGACCCTAAGTCTAAAAAGGCATTACAAATAACTTAGACAATATCTATGTTTTCCTGAAGTATCTATGTAGAAATAGTTAAGGAAATAGAATATTGTCAACACAGGAAAAGTTAGAGTATACTTAATTTCCTTATGAAATCATTCTGAGAGCTCTTCGTCCCTTTACACATTTGCTCCTCTCACTGCATTTGGTTTTAGAACAAGATATATGAAATTTTATTTTCCTTTTAGATCTGTCATTCTAGACTCTATATATGATCCATCATTTTTAAAACAGCAACTGTATTTTAAATCAGCTTGTGAGTTGAAAACTAAATATTTAAAATGTGACTTTTCATGTGCCAATATATGTTATATTAATCAAGATAGAAGGTTTCAAACATTTTTGTGAAATTATGGTGACTTTAAGTAGATTTAAATTTTTTTATACAAGGACTGAATATTGAATAAATCAATTTATTTTTCTAAATAGCATATTATTCTACATTGGAATCTAAGTATTAATATAATATGCTCAGTAAACAGGATATTAGAAAGCATTCTCTTTTAAGTGTTTATAAAACTACAGTAACTTTAATTTTTGAATTGAATGTAACAGCACACATTTCCTGAAGGAGAGCTTTGGCAACATTGTCAACCAACTACCACCGGGAAAAAACACACAGAAAATACCTTAGGGCAAGTTTGAGGAATGTGTGACATTAACTGATATTTTACATTTTTCATCTAGCTTAATCGACTTTCACTTAAACTGTAGGGATTTTTAAAATAACTGTTTTGTAATAATAACAAGACACATTATTTAAATATATACATTTAAAGCCAACTGGTATATATCATAAAGAATTTTTTAAAATTATCATTTTTTTGTTATATTGGGGTTTGAAATCAGGGCCTTAAGATTGGTAGGTGCTCTACCATTACCCTGCCCAACATACAGGATTTTAAAACAGAACATTTACAATAAATTAAAGATAATTTTTGATTGTGTTATGAGGTCTAAGAAGTACTTTGAAACTGTTAAAAATACATTACATAAGAAAGAGTTTATTAATGTGTTGCTAACATTTCTTTTTCTCCCACGAGAGACTAGTTCTATAAATGTGATTCAAATGTTGGAACAATCCTACAGTTGCCTCCTATTATGGAACTTCTTGGAGTTATAGAATTTTAAAATTGATTTTCAGAGTCACAAAATGGCAGTTGGAAAAAATCTTCGTGAAAAAGTAATTCTAGTAAAATTTTAACACTCTAATGTTTAGAGACTTTCTTATATAATGTAAGTTAGTTGGAAATTTGTATCAGATACACATGATGATTGATGAGGGAAGAGTGGAAGAGGAGGAGGAGCAAAAGGAGAGAGAGAGAGAGAAAGGGGTGTGAGAGAGAGAGAGAGAGAGAGGAGATGAGAATTATAGCACTTTGTATGAGAGATGCCATTCTTGCTATAAAAGATTATAGAGTACATCAGAGACACTCTGCTTAAGCAAGGTCAAAGATAACTAGGATTGCATAAGTAAAGTCATCTGTGATTCCATTCAAAGTGAATTTTTGACAATTTTGGTGAAGTAATTGAGACTACTCTGCCGAAGGTGATTTTTAAAAAGGCCCACTATAAGAAAGTATTGTATCACATAGTGATTTTCTGATATTGTACATGGACAGTGGACCATTTTATAAGGCTAGAAGCCAGAAAATAAATGTAATAAAACTAAGGACACATTTAAAGAGTAGGGTAGAATATCAAATCACAGATATTACAATGCCATGACTAAGTTCATCCCTCTCTGATGTTCCACAATTTGGACCGTTGCCAGATGAATTACATGGAACAGTACCTTTCGTTTTGCCTTTAGCTGCTCATGGTACTTATCACAGGTGTCTCCTGGGATCTCTCCTCCCCAGAGAGTAATTCCAACGATGGTGTATGTGACACCCATGATGAGCAATGGGAAACAGTATACCAGTATAATGACAATAATATGGTACCTGCATGTAATAAGAGAGATACATATTGAAGAATCTTCCAGAATGAGTTATGTGGGACTTTGAAAATTTGTTCAGCTTTAAATCATAATAAAAACGTCAATGATTATTTTTACTTTATCTCTATATCCTCACAAATCTAACAAAATATCATAATATTATCAACTATATTCATGTTTTGTGTGCTGCCAGTTGCTTTTTTGCCTATCTTTATTTTGCATATGGAAACTTAAAATTCTGGTGAAATGCTCCTTTAATCTATGAACATTCCCTTTTCTTAAAATTGAGGATTAGTGTGCTTTCTCCACTTAGTACTCTGCTAGGTAATAGTTGAAATAAACTACTAAAATTCGTCTTCAGAGAAAAAGGAATGAGACAGAATAGATTAATGCACTGATACAGGTTTTCTTTTATGTGGGACTGTTCCATATATCCCATGACATCAGACATATCTGAAATAGATTTTTTTCATCAAATAAAAAAGTAAGTAGGTACTCTGAGCTATATTAAACACACAAGTTATTTTTGATTTTTAAAAATGAGGTAAAAGTTTTACATACATTTTTCCAAACTCATGGCATATTTGATTACATTTTTAACTTGGTAAATAATATGTAGACCTATTAGTCATGCAAAACACATAATGCTATTAACTATCAAATTAAATTCTAAGGCTCCATAGCCTTTAGTCAAAATTATAAGGATTCAATTAGGGAGCGTTAGGAGCATAACCCATAATATAATGGCCCAAATAGAATTTTATAAACTTTCGTGTGACTTCCACTGTCTTCAAAGTCCTTAAAATAATTCAGTTTATTACAATAGTTTTTTCAGTACCTATTTTTTTTTGTAATGTGAATCCTAAACTTTAAGGTTGCATATCCATTTCCTAGTAGCTTCCTAAGTATTGATTTGAGTTTAATACGTAATTCAGTCAATAAATAATTTGAGGAAGATAACATTATCAAAGAGTTCAGGTTTATTAATAATAATGGATAGAGTATAGCACTCAATGTACAGCTTTATTTTCCTTTAATAAAATGTCCCTTTATAATTTGACCCTTTGGGAGAGCAGAGCTGGATAAAACAACTGCTTAAAAGATGATCATTCATTGAACCATTTGTTATTTTTAAAGAGAAAAATTGGTCATCAAAATAGAAAAATCAGCATTTTATTGAAATGAGATCAAACTAAAGTATATATTCAATTATGATACATGTCAGTTTTGCTTTTCTTAGGTGGGTGCAAACAGCAAATATCAAATTTTATCAAAGCACTTTCCTATTTCCTTTCCATTCTAGTATTCAGATTTCTTAACACTAAAGCAAATGAACATAACGTTGATCAAACCAAAACAAATTTAAAGAACCTACCATGACTTCTATTCCATTCAGCCAGTCTTCCTAAAAGAGCAATTAACACTTTTGAGCTTTGCTTCCTCCCATCTCACTTCTTAGATCAATAACAATCCTGCTGTCCTTTAAACATGGTTATCATCTTTTATCACTTCCTCCAGGAAACTCCAGTGCTACTCCATATAGAAGTCATCACATCTCCAATTTAAAAACCTTTGTAACTCATACAAACTTACTGATCTCATAATATTGTATTGTACTTTTACCATGTGTCTTTCCCAAATAATATGTGATCCTTCAAGAGCATGTCTGTATCTTATTTACTTATTTTTTCATTCTATATCTTATTTCTTATTTCCCTAAATGTTTAACAAATTGAATTGAAAGTCATAATTGAAAATTAACTTACGTGAAGTGTTGTTTGGGACCTTCTGGCCATTGCACATAGCAAAGAGTACGGCCCGGCATGACTTTAATTTTGGAATAAAGACACTGGGGAAAGGCAAGTAGAAATGCTAGAATCCAAATACTTCCAATGACAATCTTGGTGGCTGTAGCAGATAGTCTGGGTTTCAGGGGATCGATAATGGCCATATACCTATATAAAAACAAACAAGATTAAGTTTGAAGTGGAATTTCAAAGGTGTTTTAATAGATTTATGTCTCTTCTGGTAAACAAGTTGATAAGGATTTTCTTTCTACCAAGGTAGCATAGAATGATAATCATGGCATGGTCCTAGGAGTCAGGCAGATCCAGGATCAAATCTTACTGTAACACTTGTTTAACCATTTGAACATCTGCTTCATTTTATTTTAAAAATAGAAATAGGACACCCATTTGTCAGGGGTACAGTAAGAATCAATAGAACTAATGTAAATGAAAGGTTTTAATTAATTTGGTGCTGTGCCTAGCATTTTATTAAAATTTATAGGTGTTTATTGAATTGAACAGGCATGCATAAGTGCTTAAAAATACTAGTTCCACACCTCAAAACCTTTTCTTTTTTCTCTTTTTTATGTTTTTGTCAAGGCTAGGGTTTGAACCTAGGGCCTCAGAGATGTTAGGCTGATGTTATCTCTGAGCTATAACTCCAACCCCCAAACTTGATTTCTTTTCTGTATAAATTCTAAAGTAAAATTCTGATGTTATATGGATAATATCTACATAATGGACAAAGGTGGTGACCTTCTATGAAAGATATGATCAACATATCTATTTAAAGGCAGCAAGAGACCATTTCAGGATTCATATGAAAATAAGCAAATTACGTTTGACCAAGGCTATGATTTGCTGTTACCACCAAGATGAATTCATACTGCATCATGGAAAACATCAAGGTGTTTATTTATATAACTGTGCATAGGCATCATTATTTTGTGTGTAACATCATTATTTTGGAAAAACAAATTTTGGGTTCTAAAGAACACACTTACATAGGACAATTACAGTGCAAGTTTTTGGGAAACTGAGAATTTTCTCAACATGGTAAGAAAAGTCAAGTTTTGTTTCCTTGTTAAAGATAGCAACAATATATCCAGAAAAATTTTTTTCAGTTTTAAATTGGATATAATATGACTAATTGCCAAATTTTAACTAATGTCTACGATAAGAAAATAATATATATAATTAATTGGAAACATATCTCTATGAATACAACATGCATTTTAAATTGGTTCCTTTTCACTGCTGGTCATTTTGTTTTTTGAGTATATTTTGATTTATGCAAGGTTTTCAAAGATTATACTTCCATCAAAGAATGAATATTATTTAAACCTGAAATATTTTAACCTTAAGAAAAATATTTCAAAATAAAGATAATTAATTTATTGTTCCTTGCTTAACTGATTATTAAGGAAAATTAGATATATTGTAGATGGATTAAAAATCATGAACTAGTCTTAATATTGGCTTTGATCACAATTTACCTAAAGGAATATTCTTAATTCAATATATGTGATAACTGATAGTTAAACATGAGTCATACACATAAAAGTCATATTTGTTTTTCTGTGATTGGCTGATTTCACTTAGTTACAGGATTCCACATACATGAAGCATCTAAAAATAAACAAACTCATAGAAGCAGAGAATAGTGTTGTAATTGCCAGGAAAAGGGAATGGAGAATTAATGTTTAATAGGCATAAACTTTCAGTTATGCAAGACAGAAGAGTTCTAAAGATCTGCTGTACAGCACAGTACATCCAGTAACCAAGTGTTATTGTGAACTGTAAAATTTGTTAAGAAGATAGAACTCATTCTAAGTGTCCTTAGCACAAGGACAAAAACAAAAATCTCCAGCTTACAGACATAACATAAGGAAAGTATGGGGAGTGATGGATATCTTTAATGTCTTGATTGTGGTGATTGTTTCACAAATGTATACATTTAACCAAACTTATCAAAATGTATGCATCAATATGTACATTTTTGTATATCAATTATACTTTGATGAAGCTTAAAAATGGAAATTAAAGGTAATTATTAAAATACTACTTTGGTTTAGGAAACAAAGTGACCTATACAAAAATATAATGTACACTTGAAATGAAAGACTAAAATTTTCCTCTCATGCTTATGTCGATGAAGATGATACTAACAACAATTACTGATTGCTAAACATGGCCAGCTACTTTCTTGTGTACATTGCATGTATATTAAAAGTATCTTGAATAATCCAATCAGTCAAATGATATCATTATCTCTATTTTATAGAAAATAAATTTGTTGTAAATAGTTAAATTTACAACCAACTGTTGTAAATTGGTGTAAATAGTTTAAATTATTCATAATGATTCAGAAATAGAAAATCCCTACTGACCTTCTATTTTGGTAAGGGAAAGAAGTGGCATTCTAAATCAATTCTGATAGTCTGCAAAGTTCATATTGATACAAACTGTGGCTTTTGAACCCATGTAAAGACTTGAGGAAGAGAAAGGAAAAGATATAAAAATCAGAAATAGCATTTTGCCTTTTGAATTTAAAAGCATTTATGTATAACATTAAAATCAGAAGACAAGCACATTAAAGCATGGGCTGTAGGTAGGCATTTTTGTCTTCACTGTTGCTGCTGCTAACTCACATGGTAATATATTAAATGATGGCCTTATGAGTGCTTGCAGAGCGAAGTACAATTCTTTTGGATAAGTTTTGTTAAACTATTGAACTGAGTATGCCTCGATTTTATCATAATCTTTTGCTTTTTGTTTGCCCTGAAAGTTTATAAATGCAATTTGGATATTTACATAGTTGATGTTATATGACTAAAAAGAGAGTCCTGTACAGGCACTGTAACACAAATAATTAAAAATGAATGACAAATTTCTTATCAACTGGTTTTGTCAATTATCTTAATGTTAAATTACTTCCTGTTAGGTAGCCTATTGTCTTATTTGAATCTTATGGAATCAATTTATGTTCTCACAGAATAATATTTTAGTTTCTTAAGTTCCCTGTATATTCCAGTTATCAGTCCTTTGTCTGATGTATAACTGGCAAATATTTTCATGACAAGGGGAGAGCACATATGGGAGATATGGGGTAGGTAGAAAACCCAAAACATGAAAGCATTTGATGTCCCTACTCCAGAGAAGCTAATACAGAAACCTTAAAGTGACAGAGGTCAACACAAGAAGGGGATCAGGAACCAGTGTAAAAATCAGTTAGAGATGAATCAACTTGGGTTGTAACACATTTGTACATGGAAGCAATGCTAGGAATCTTTCTGTATAGCTACCCTTAACTCAACTTGCAAAAATGCTTTGTCTTTCTTATTATGCTTATGTCTTCTCTTCAACAAAATTAGAGATAAGGGCAGAACAGGTTCTGCCTGGAAGCGGGGGTGGGGGGGGGGTGGGGAGGGCAGGGGGGATAGGAGGGGGGCGGCGGGGGGAGAAATGACGCAAACAATGTATGCACATGTGAATAAATGAATAAAAAAAGAATATCTTAGTGAAAGAAGAAATATTGAAACATCAAGCCTACATTTATGCCATTTCTGGTCTGATCCATTATTTATTCAATAAACATTTATTGAAAAATTTCCAAACATTGCAATAATACAATTGTGAATAAAAATGGCTTTCACAGAGCTCACACTCTATGAATAGATAAATGAATTGGTCCATTTTCTGTTGCAATAAACAAAACATGTGAAATTGGGTACTTTAAAAAGAAAAATGCTTATTTAGCTTACGGTTTTGGAGCTTAAAGACATGGGAGTGGCATCAGCTCAGTTCTAGTAAGTGCCACATAATGGAGGGCATCACAACAGGCAAAAGTGCTTGCAAATGTGAGAGATCACATTGCAAGACAGGGAGCGAGCAAGAGAGGGGTCCTCTTGCTCTCACAAGGGCTAATCAGTGTCCCTCGAGGACTTTGGTAGCCTCTTCCAGGGCCGCAGTTCTAATGACCTAACATTTTCTGCTAAGCTTTACCACTTAAATGTTCCACACCTTTTAATAACACCATATTGGGGAACAAACTTTCATCAACTGAACTCCTAGGGGACAAACCACATCCAAACCACAGCAGAATTTAATCAAATAACCTAACCAATAAATGTAAATTACAAATGTCACAAATGTCACAAAGGCAAGGTCAAGTAAATGCATTAACTGGAAAAAATATGTTTAGATTGTACTTCATTCTTCCCAAAAGAATGTCATTCTAGTTGAAACTTGGAAGGAGAATAGACAGGGTGCCAGAAGGATGAGCGTTGGATAAGGTTAAACAGCATATGGAATATTCCTGGGTTGGTGGTGGGTTTTTGTGCATTGAATTGTGTCCCTCCTAAAAAAGAAATATTGAGATTCTTACTCCTGTATCATATAATGTGAACTTATTTAAAAATAGTGTCCTTATACAGGGAATTGATGACCTAAATTGAGGTCATCAGGGTAGCCTAATTCAATGACTGGTGTTCTTCTATAAAAAGGAAATTTGGAAACATAAAAAAACATATATAAAGAGGAAATTTGAAAGGCACAGAGGAAGAATCACATGAAGATGGAAGATTGGAATGACACACCAACAGGCCAAGGTATGCCAGAGGTGGTCATTTAGGAAGAGACAATGGTGGCTTTCACTACAGGTTTTTGAGCTAATATAGCCAGTCTTCACCTTGATTACAGAATTCAGCTTCCAGAACAGTGAGACAATAAATTTCTGTTGTTTGTAGTCATCTAGTTTGTGATACTTTGTTAAGATATCCCTAAGCAAATGAAAACAATGAGTAGGAATGGGTGAAGCATTGTGACTGGAATAATAATTAGAGATTACTGAAAGTGAAACAAAGGAAAGTGCTTTGAGATGAAGTTCTGGTGCAGGTTGTAGATTTTCTTCTTATTGAAAGTTACTGAAGCAATTTAACCATGAACTAGAATAATTAGTCTTTTTTTCTTTTGTCTAAAAAAGTTTCTCATTTTAGTTTAGAGAATGGGCTGGTAAGAATAAATACAAACAGGAAATAAGTTACCTGGCTAATGTTTTGGTTTGGATGAGAGGCGATTGCTGTTTGGAACAGCAGGTCACTACTGGAGACTGAATTAAGTCCATGGTTTGATGGAAGGAAAGAAATGCTTTGATACATTGTAAGAAC